AGTAAACCTGGTAAGCAGTGGATTTTTATGACATGACATCAAGCAGTCACAATGCAAGAACACTGTACATATATGTATGGTACCCAAGACAAGGGCAAGGCAGCCCACTCCTACAACCACCAAGTTTGTACTCGTGCCTTGCAGTGATGGGAAATAGAAATATCCCATCCCCTGACACCTACTTCATAACTCGGGCGGCTTTCCAGTACGAGTCGTCGTACAACAGGCTGGGTTTGAGTGTGCTCAGGCTGTGTTTATCTGGGCTCATGAGGGCCCTCTCCTCGCTGGGAAGGGGGGACAACTGGTCCTCCCCAGGACTGTCGGGAGCGCCTTTTGCTTGGGAGGCATTTTTGAGTTGGGCAGCGTGGGCATGCTTCCGGCCATGCACAGCCCGACGGTTTTGACGTCTGTGTATTGGGGAAGACGAGGAAAGCAAACAGAAAAAAAAACATGCAACGTAACATAACAGGCTCTCATGCATGCATTACAAAGGGGGAAAGGGGAGGGAGGTTAACATTTCTGCAACATTAACATGAAGGAGTTATGAGGGACACATGAATATTTATAATCATAACATCAATTATTCATAGCAGGTGGGATTATCTCATGAATTATTCATGCACAACATATTAATCAATGAAAACACATAACACTTGCAAAATGCATTATTCAACAATTAATGCAGGAGTGAAGGAAATGCAAATTATATTAACACAAAATAAACAAAAAAGGGGAAAGATTAAAACCTATGCTGAACTGATGTCACACAAATATATTACAGCACTGACGACTGAGAATGCACAGTCATTCACTGATCAAGGCGAGCGTAGAAAAATGTTAGCCTTCAATTTTTTATCCATTTGGGGAAAAACATAACTGACTTCTGATTAATGAACTTGCACTTCTACAACTACTAAAATGGTATCTGCTAATGCAATTCTATTCCAATTACAGAGATTTTAACACGTTGACCGCCATGCATGACTTCAAAATGGGGCGTTCCCATTCGCCAAGTGTTGTATGCATATTTAAGAGATACCTTTCAGGTGTCTATTTGAACATGAGCATTTTACAGGAGTACGCCCTCCACACTGCCAGTAGGGTATTTGTTTTGTTCTTTGGTGATGCCAGTGTATTCAATTTACGTGAAACACAAGTAGCATTTCATTTCCAATGAGTATACTCGTAGTGGCAGGATGCCATGGGGGGGGGGGGAATTTCACCACCTTCTTTCTTCCTCCTCTACCCCACCACTGAAAGGGCTCTAAGTTTGACAGAAGTCAGCCCTCGTCTGAACTTTACAAATTATGTTCTAAATCGATCAGTCCAACAACACTCCTCTGCAAAGGTAATTTGAAACGGTCATGCGGGAAAAATCACACAAATCAGACTGATTAAAATGGGGGAGGGTACAATCACCCACATGAATCTATTAAATTCTATCAAATTCCATCTTAATTTAGTGTGTTCTTGAGAATACCAAGAATATTGAGGTTGATATATGTAATACAAAACTGAAAACATCCATGGTTTTTTTCACTCAGCGAGCTGTCTATCATGATGTTCACAACAGATAGTACCGTGCATCCAAGGAGTCTGTTCAAGTCAACAAACCATTATCATGCACAAATGCACTAAAAAAAACACCTGCCAGCTATACACAGCCATTAACTTAAAAACCTGAAGCCAAAAACAATGACAAAAAACAGGTGTTGAATGCACGGTGCCGGCCAAGGGTTGGGACTTACTTTATCTGGCGCATGAGGCGGTACGTTTTAGCGGCTGAATATATTTTTCTACGACAAGATAAACACATCAGCTACGATGGTGAGCAACAAAGGCCAACCTTGCACTTTTTGTTTGTAGATCTCAACAACAACCGTTGGTAAATAACCAACGGCAAATCTGAAGATTTGTTTCCAATTTTGTCTTACTTTTTTTTTTCTTCAACTTTTTTCAAGCTCTAGTTCATTAATTTTGCAATATTTGAAAACCAACGAAGACACGTCAGAGACTTTCGGAATCACTTTTGATGCACAGAACAAGAATACATGTCTCTGCTAATGTACATGTAGTTGTGGCCCAAAATACACTTATTACAGGCCAAAAATGTAAAAATGTGATTTCTTTAACCTAGTCCATCAACAAGAAATAAGACAATTCCACCAAAAAGGGCAATTGTTAGTTCACATCCACATTTAACATTGACACTTCTTTGACTCTGTGACCAACACTTTGTACCAACTATCATTTCATTTCTTCTAGTCCACTCAAAGTTAAATACAGACAAATTAAGTCAAGTCACTGGAGCTACAAATATTTTTGTAGGACGAAAAAGAGCACAGCCTACCTGAACATTTCTTCATCTCTGGCAGGGATGGTGATGGTTAAAGCTTCTGGACTTTTTAATTTCTTGGACCGTTCACCTAGAGCAAAGGGGTCACCAGACAACAGGTTGAAACATCAAAAGGCCTCAGAGATCAGGGCTGAAAGCTGGCATGGCAATTCGAACTCTCCCAAAATACCTGCTGTAATTCCTCCCTAGACATTATAGCTGCACGTTGAATCTATTGCTAATGCAGGTGGTCGTCTACCGATATACACGTTCCTCAACTATCAAGCACCACTGCACTGTACAATGTATGTGCTTTTTGACTCTGCCTCCAAATAAACACTCTGGGAAACAAAATGGGCCCCCCTTGTACATGATCCCCATCTCCTTAAATGAGCCTCAAGCATTTGTCATTTCCAAGCACATGTACACTTCTTGCCCGCTTACATAAAGATATCATTCAAAAACATGCACACAAAACTGTTAAAAAAGCTCTTCAATATGATATATTATTCAGTCTGATGGGCAAATCCAGGAACACATTTTTCATGGGAGGGGGTAAAACAAACTTGTTCAGGGGACCACAAATTGTGGACATTTATTTCATTTAACCTTGTACGGTCTTTTTGTGGGTAAGGCTATATTTTGAGGCCTTTTACACACTCTAGAAAGGAAGGGAAATGAAACACCCAACCCCCAAATTGCATTTCTATAATTATTTTTCTTTGGGGGGTTCCTTTTTGGGGGTTCTATGCCCCCCTGGTCTGACATGTAGGCGACCACTGACAACATGGGAAGAGAAAAGTTGGCAACAGGGAAGCCAGTCAGGTTCTTGTCCACAGTCTGAAAATAAGGCCTGAGATGCCAACATGCAGCTTGTTCAGGCCTGAAATTAGCCCCACATTGGAAATAAAAAAGCCTGTGATCAGGCTAGTGCCTGAAAACTGGCATCCCTGTGACGACGACATGCGCCACTGATTTCCTTCCAAAAACATTCATTCCAGTGTTGGTATCTCGGAAGTTGCTGAAGAAACTTATGATCAAGTTTCCTCAGCCAGGCCACACTGTCGCTATCAGCTTTTAAACACGCATGGAATCATTTATCAACAGAGGTTCCAATCAAGTCAAGGATTTCTGTTAACTCAAAGTCTGGACAACTCTGGACAACTTTTATTTAATCTTCAAGATTTGAGCAGATGTAAACGGCAACCAACGAAAACATGACTGCACCACCTACACGTGGAACGTGTGGCTTTTGTGACTGATTTTATCCTTCAAAGGTTGCCATATAAGCCGCCCAGCGTATAAGCTGCAGAGACATTTTTCAGCATGAGAATCAACATAGAAGCCACGGCTCATGCTCAAAAAATTATGGTACTGTGAAAAAATTAATAGTATATTCTGTGACCAGGGAAAATATCTAGGCAACATCCAACGCAGAGGTTGTAATAATGACAACGATAAGATAGTTTGAAGGTTTCAGGGCATTAAGTACCTAATTAGGAATACCTTTTCTTCAGAATGGTTATGATTAACTACATCTCACCTTTGTTTATTATTGGGGGGTTACTTTTTTGGGTTTTTGTCAGTTTTTGATCATTTAAAATGCAAATTCAAAGAAGGAAAAAAAACCTTGGAAAAATGTCCCTTTGACTTCCCATGTGGGTAAAAACAGACCCAATCCCTGACTTAAATTTGATACAATATGTGCACAAAAAGCCCAAGACATTGGCCTACGAATGCAACAAAGACACGGTCTCCACTCACCTCCAGCCTTGTATCGCTTTCCAGCAGCCATGAAAGCACTGACCGCTCGGAAGAATGCTCGGACAATGGCCCAGCGGAAGACAGCCAGCGGGTCCATGCCCACTAGCTCCCTGACAAATGCCAGGTTGCTGTTCTTGAGCACTGAGGTGATTTCCGGTCTCATCAGGTCTGTGTTCTTCTCTCGGAAATCCTGAATGGCAAAAAACTCAGACTTTAAGATTCTCGGCAATATCAAACCTTCCTTCTGCACAATGCCTGATACTAAATCGGTCATAACATGGAGAATGAAAATGGGTACAGCAAGAATCACTTTCAAATTCAGCCCAGTAAAATGGTAGAGAAATAGAGCCAGTTTAGACCCAACATTCCTGCCACATTGAGCAAGAATTTCTAACTACTATCCCCAACTCCTTAATCATTCTTTTTTTGTGAACCGTCTTTAACTCGTCAAAGCAAACCATGTACAGGCGTTCAGTCCTTACTCACGCTTCTACCACAATCAAATGCCTGAGTAGATAGACCACACTGTCAAGTTTCTGGGATTTCCTAAAATACCAAGTTGGTTTCTGCAAACTAGTCCAGCTCAAAAACTGACTCCACTACAATATTGCTGCTGCTACCCTCATTCTACCCCCCTCTCTCTCTCTCTCTCTCTCTCTCTCTCTCTCTCTCTCTCTCTCTCTTCAGAAGCCCTGGAAAGAACAAGCTGTGAAATCTCCAGGCCACTTTCCCAGCGTCGATGTGCCTTCCTCTCCTTTTTACTCACCTTCACTTTGTAATTAACCTTCCCTGCATAGTGGACAATGATGAAGGAAGCCTGTTCAAGTTGCACGTTCCGGAAGTAGCTGTTGTTTTTGTGATGCGAGGTGAATTTCTGCAGGAGATTCTCTCCGTTTGTGTCTTTGGCTGGAAAACTGACAAAAATGTCAAGGTATCAGGTTTAGCTTCTTTTTTTCCTCTTTCCCATTTCAGATTAATAAAAACCAGCATCTGGAGCTCTTCCTAAGTGTTGTCAGGATTGAATAAGTCGTTATGAATGTATCTCTGATATGTTATCAGACTGACTAATGCGTCAAGACAGCATACACTGTAAATAACAGTTATGACTAATCACTGTTGACAGCTTATACGCCATCCATCTGAGGGAAATGCTCCACTCCTGGTGGCCGTCACGGAAGATTCTATGTGTCCATTACCAATGACATCATCTGGAGAATTGGCCAAGCACTGAAAGGGAAATTGCTCAGATGCATTCCAAAAATGGTCCGAAAGCAAAACTGGGTAATCACTGGAAAGAGTTCTGTTTTCGTCTTGTCTGCCGGCAGGGTGGATTGCCCCACAGGGACAGGTTGTCTCGAAAGCTTCAGTGCAACTCTCAGCAATACCACATACTGGCTTGAACATAATCTTCCTGAGTCACTTTTTGATAACACGCAGCGCCGCTTTAGGGCACATCAGGGACAGATTTTGCACTGTGTACATGTCTAGGGGGAATAATTTCACACTTCAGTAGAAAAGAAAACTGAATGAACAGAAATGTTCTTTTTAATGGGATGTATCTTTCCCAAGAAAAACTAAACAGAGTGTGTGAATAAATGCATACAAAACTTACAAAACATCAGAAGTACAAATTCTGCTCAGACTTTTTTAATTTCATGAATACTTTTGCCTTGTGTTACTTTTTACACTAAAAAAAATTTATTTTGCGGAAAAGTTAGCCGTTTGTAGCATTAAGCATTTTGTAACTGACACTTTGTGGTTAACATCCACAAGATGACGCTCACGATAAAGTGGCAAACGGTCATTGCTTCAGCATCATGTTTGAAATAAAAAATATGACTGAAATGATTAAACGACTGACCCACATGTTCGGTATCTATCTCAATGTACACACAGACAGGGCCATATTCCCTTGAGAGGAACACACCAATGTAAGGTTACACAACCAAAAATATACTGCAAACTGAAACAGTCCCCACACTTTTCAGTAATTTGAGAATATTCCAATACAAGGTGGTCAACCAACACATGCCCAGACCCTTGGCTACTTACTTGCAATCATCGTTTAATATATGTAGAAGTCCCGTCGGTCTCTTCTCTATGAGCAACAAGCAGCCTGTATTGTCTATGAACTCTATGTTCTTCCATATGATGCCCTCTCGTCGGTACTCCTCCTGAAACATCCAACATCTTGATTTGAGCAACAAGAAATTCAAGCAGGATTTGGATCCACAGACTTCCAGGATATTGATTCCTCACCAACAGAGCTTGCAGCTCAATATTACGGGTCTTTTGCTTTTTGTCACTCTATGAATATTTAACTAACATACGGTACATGAGATGAGATTTTAAAAACTGCGGCCCTCTGATTGTTTCCTTCCTTACTATTAAGAGTTCAATATTGGTTGCCTGCTAACATCCAGATGTGGCAGATAGTGTGGTGTTGAATAAGCAATACACTCCTACCATCGGTACCGTGTCTCAGATAAGCTTGTGAGAAGCAGCGAAAAGTTCAGCATGTGAATATATATGCTGCAGAGAGCCTTTGCAGTTCTATACCAAGTTGTCATGAGTTAATGTTGTACCTCTCCAAGATCCCCAACCAAAAGCTGGCTAGAGCCTTTGGTCACACTGTCATAATTTGGGCCATATACCAGTAGCCCCCCCGATGGAAAAAGTCTTGAGTGACAAGCTTGGCAAATTGTGGACGCACACGTAATGGCATCTGTGTGAATCTGAAAGAACCTTGGTCCTGATAAGTAAGAAAGGGTGGCGACAGTTTTGAGCATGTTTAAACCTATCGTGGCCCAGTAACGATTTAGTGAAAAGGTGGGCCAATATTTCTGCAATCCTTATTCAATCTGGTATATTCTTCAAGCCATTGTACAGAAATTTCTGTGGTTAATAAAAGAATTTTTATAATGATTCAGAATAAATTTATAAGACTATACTAGGGTCTAAGATGTTTTGCTAACTACATGTATATAATGAAGGTGATAAATCTTCATTAATCTAAAAACAATCAAAAGTCAAACACAAAATAATCATTTTTAATCATCTAGACTAGATCATAAAATATCTTGTCATGAATGTGGTGAATCTGCTTCATATTTGTATAAATGCCCATAATATTCATAAGCATATCCATTAGCATTGGTAAGAAGTTGTACTTAGGGGCTCTGTATTCCCAACTCATCATGCTCAACATGCCCAGTGTTAATCAAGGGCTATCTGGGAAAAAAATGGTGTGACGTAGGCTGCAGCAGTGATTATTAATTGGTTTATTTGACAAATTTGCAGAACACCTTTGAGAACCAGTTGAAACCTGTAATTGTGTCTCTCACCTGTTCTATTTTGAAGACGTGTTGGTTGAAGTAATACTGGAGATGTTCATTTGCGTAGTTGATGCAAAATTGCTCAAAGCTGTTGTGGACAAAATCTTCAAAGCCGAAAATGTCTAGCACACCAATGGAGTTGCCCTGCGTGGGAGAAACAAAGTCCACATAAACATTTATTCTTGAGTAACTTTAGAGCACCTTGCACTGAAAGCGTACCATCTGAAATATAATCTATCCACTTTCTACAAATGAAAGCGCTACTTCAACAGGCATATTTCGAAGCAAATTGACAGGACTGCATGAACTTTTGAAAAAATACATGTTACCGGTACTTGTTGATTAAAGATCATAAGCAGGAGTGTGAAATGAAAGCAATGTGTCATATTCAATTTCATAACAGCCATCGAAAGAGAAAGTATAAAATTAGTACATTCACTGTTTTTCTAAAAAGCAAAAGTTACTTCGTAATATAATCAAAACCTGCGACTTCCTCTGGAATTTTAATTAAAACATTGACAGATCTTGTTCTGCAATTAGTTGGAGACAAAACAGCTTTTCTGAATAACAACCTGTGTAACAGTGCAGTAATGGAGTTCAAAACTTTACATTAACCCAAACCAATTTTTATTATAATGCTTATTTTCCGCAAATGCACAGTGCAATCAGTGCAGTGAACTTTAAAAAAAGGAAAGTTTTCTGATACACATCAATGTTATCTTAACACTTGAATCAACAGGTGCACTTTTCCATGCATGGCCTATTGAAGAAAACATCCTCATATTGAATCAAAATACCTTCTCCTTTATCTGAATGTATTTTGCAATATGGATTCCTATATTTATGAACAACATCTTGGTTGATATAACACGCCATCGTAGGACACCTCAATACCACTACAAAAAGTTACTGCAAATGAAACCAAAAAGTGATGCATTTGATAAAAGTTTAAAACACTGTATCACATTATATAAAAATGCACTGCACGAATAGGGCATTTTGTGCACGTATCACGTTTTGCAACTGAGGCTCTGAAATTTGGCCACACCAGAATGAAAGAGAGGCACTGTGACATCCATTCACAAATCCTCCTTATCGGCAGTGGCTCGTGACAAAAACCTGGCCGATGACTTTGGGGGGGGGGGATTCAGTCAATACTAATGACCAACATGTATCGCAGAACTAATTCCTCTCGTATTGGTAATCATTCCTCCTGGCTACCACACAGCCAATGTACGGTAGAAGTGCCACTGATGAGCAGTCAAAACCTTGGGCCGCAACACAGATGGTTTCACCAGATGAGACCATCTGCAGACTTCTCGCATTACTTAATGTGTGCATGGCCGGCTTAACTTTGCACAAATATCACTCTTAGTCGGTGTTAGATGTTTACCGTCACATGTTCATTTGCCCCATTACTTCTCAAGAGGCTTGCATTTTCATAAGTGGTTTCATTTCATTTATTAAATTTGCAGGTACAAATAAACATTCAATATATGCACAAGGAAACATGTACACAATGCAGGAAAAACTTTCATAAAGAAATACACAGCACATAACAAGTAGGACCCTTGCAAAGTAAACTTAATTACTATGTAGTTACTCTCCTTGGCATTAACTAATAATTCAAAACACCACCAGTCAAATACAGAAATTAAAAAATCAATCGATTTTTATTCATTGTTTGATGGCTGCATGACAGCTCGCCATAGCCCTGCCTGCCAATGGAGGGCAAAAATATGGGCCGGAACATAGAAAAGGTAATCCCCATACAAACAAAGGGTTGGTACTCAATAAACTAATACAAACTACATACATGTATGCATAGATGAACATCTCTCACAGAGACCTCAGACAACTGGAGGTAAACATACATGTAAGTGTTAAACCACAAGAAAGTCCCACATGTCCCAAATAGTCTTTGACCCATTCAGATCTTACAAGCACGTCTGACTGCAAGTAACACAACACGTGTACATGCGATCAACATTAATCTTGTGCAATTGCTGATATTTCTTCAATCTTTTTACAGTCCATTTGTGAGCATTTAAATGAAGGTAAAGGGCATATTAAAGAACATGAGACTTTCACATTCACTGCACCCTACGACACAGCAGTGTGTGTTGAAATATGCTACTCCAGTTTCTCGTTGTAGTAAATTTAATGACTGGAGGGAAAAGAAGTTGTGTTCAACACCTCTGTCTTTTCACTAGTGTCCTTTAACTGGCCAAAAGTTCAGGCAAGATTGAGCTGGGATCTTTCCATTTAGCTTGCTGTATCTGACAACCATGGCTTGGACTTCTTGGTTTCCACTGAGTCCACAGTCTGCAGGATTTCTCGGCATGAACGGTATGCGACTGTAATGCTGCCCTTGGCTTGACTAAAGTGCAATTTCTAGAAGGGGTTACCAGGGGTGCACACATTTTGGGAGAAGGGGGTTAGTCTAGAAGGTGTGTTCCCTGGTTCCAGCCAATATTCTAGAGTTAGGAACCAGACATGCAGCGGACACACTTACCTTCATATGCACCATAAGGCCCTATCCCATTTATTTGGCTGTGGCTGGCAATAACAGAATGTCTATGGAAAGTAACGTCAGCTGCAAGCCCAAGGCTCCAGTAAGTGCATACATTATTTCCAGCCGAAGCCAATTGATTTAAACCTACCCTTATCACCAATTACCACATGAGACTCGTTACATAAAAGTGCTACATATGAACAGCAATGCTTCACATTCTCAATGCTAAAGTACTGTGCACATGGATTCCATGGGTTATTGAGTGCAACATCTGTTTACCTGATGTTCCCCAGTTTTCTCGTAGCGGGACAGGAGAGCGTGGTTCACTTGAAGCACGATCCACTCAAATAAGCCGCTATACAGCCCCTTAGCCAGGGCATCTCTTGTTGCTAAAGCCTGCAGAGATCAAGGCAAAAAGGGGAAACAAATCTCGTCAGCTGCATTCGGCAAAGTTTGTTCAATATTTTATTTTTACAAATTTAAGGTTTTTCCCAGCTGTGTATCTTCCGTTCTTCTGGAGTGGTCTTTATTAATGGAAAAAATTACATTGTGTGTTTATTTATATCTGTTGATCCAACGGTACATTTAGTGCCAATTATAGGATGAAGTGACAATTAAGAAGACAACAAAGAAATGTCAAGGTGGGAGGAAATTCCTGGATAAATATTCCAGGGAAAACCCACGGAGTCAGGTAGGGACTGAAAACCCAATCCACATTCTGACAAAGGTGGGATTTGAACCCCGGTCGCAGGGGTGACAGGCAAGGAAAAATCCATTACATCAACCTGACTTCCCTGAAATACACTTTTAGTTTCAATGCATATCCATCCCAATAAGGAATTTAAATTACCGGTACCTATTCAGGAGTTTACTGGCATCTTTAGGAACCCAATAAACACAATTTTTCTGAAACAATTTTATGAATGTGGTGAAAAAAAAAAAAAACTCTTGACACCACAGCTTTGCTTTAATATTTGAAACGGTTATGCGTACAAGCTGACATCCTTTTGAAACTGGTGAGGACTGTTCATGGAAAAAAATCATGATCAAGTTACAACTAAGGAAATGAAGAACAAATGGGATTGCAATTAAAAAGTTGCAAATGCATCTGAACAGTAGCGGAATATGTGTAATACACCAAATTCCATATATGGAAGGTGATGTAAGAACATGTACATGTACTTGATGAGAGTGTGCATGCACAGTGGACTGTGCTGTGTGGTCTCAACATGTAGTTATCCAAGCAAAGAGTCCCAGAGACACACCACAAGTACTTACCGGTTACACTGTATCAAGTGGATTTGAACTACATGTACATGTAAGCACAAACTACATGTACATGTAAGCACAAACTACATGTACATGTTAGCACAAACTACATGTACATGTAAGCACAAACTGCACTGTAATAAGAGCATCTGTACTGTACTAGGCGAAGTAACACTCACATGTGTAACCTACTACATGTATATCATGCTCTCAAATAAGACTTTTCCTACATGCAGATGTTGAAGTGTTTTGAAGCATATAATGGGTAAATGGCTAAAACCTTGACTTGCATTTTTACCGATAAAGCAGCCTCAAGTCACGACCAATCATCAACCCTTAAACTCGGAGTGTTACCTAATTTTTTATGAACCCGAGGGTTTAAGGGTCGAAATATACATGTTTAGTTTCAGGAGCAGCTCCACTGACATTCAGCTCCAGAGTTGGCTTCATGTACTGCTTGGTCTCACACACCCCTTGACGGTCAAATCATGGCATTTGTTTTACATTCTACCCCAAAGTTTGGCTGAGCAATGGCTCCTGAGTTGGACCAAGAGAGGGTGCAATTTTCCTTGCAACAGAGGCTCCTTTGGTAGAAACTGCGCATGGCTGGTTCACTAACAACTACTCGTACAAAACACCAGCGCTGCAGTCACATCACTACCAACAAATGGAGCACCCCCGACCAGCATGGCTCTTTTTCAACCAATGAGGGGGTGTTTCAGCTCAGCGTGGATACTTTAGACAGACCAACACGTACATGTGCATCTATCCAATCTGTCAATTCTTTGACCCATTCAAGCTTTCCATACGCACTTGTCATACTCCTGAAATCTCAGCCATTCCATCAAATCTAAACCTTTCCAATACTAGCCTAATGTTACCTGCCATGTACATGTACTATGTACAAAAATAAACAAACCTCTGCTACATTTGCCATGATTAATTCCCGCCGCTCGATTCTTTCTCGTCGGTGACTGATGTCATCGTATTAAACTTAGTGCACCATTCATCACTCGAAAATTCAGAGTGCTTACATGTAAATCTGTCATGTCCAGACGGGACGCTAACATTCGCCAAGTACTCTTTGTTCTCTGGACTGCCAACAGTCAAATAAGAGCCTTAACGTACATGTCTCATCATTAATTTTCATCTGTTCATTTATTACATGTAATTATTGTTCACCAGATGGCCCCTTCAATCGACAACATTTACAGGTACATGTGAATCCCTACAGATCCAAATACGTAAAATAAACATCTAAAGTTACAGTACCGGGTACATCCGTGCAGCACAAACGGAAAGAAAACATGTCACAGAAATTTAAAACTGAGCAATGAATTTCGAGCTGTTACACATTAAAAAATCAAGGACATACTGTTAGTGGGTACAAGTACGTAAATCAGACAAGTCACTTAAGCCTTTAAAAAATCAGCAAGATCAAAACTGAGCTTTAGATTTATCCAAGATCTATTTGAATCCAACCTATAGAACTATATATTAAAACTAGAGCGCTAATTTCTCATTCTCTGCTTGGAGAATATTTGACACTGTCCTGTGCGCAGACATTTTGAATCCATGTGCGTGCTTGTAGAACACTCAAAATCAGATTGAATGAATATCGAATAACGTATTCTAAATGCAACACGCAAGTACAACATACGTAAATGTCAGCGCGTCTTTTGAACAAGGCGCTCACGTACAGAGCAATGGCACAAGTTTATCTACATGTACCTCAAAAGCGGATTATTTTAAATTGAATGTTTCCCTAACATTTGAGGCAAGGTTGTCCAATTTTGTATGCATGTCTTTCGATGTCTGTCTTTTGATGAATAAGTTCATCTAAATCAAAACTTTGTTTCCTTAATTCGGTCAGCATTATTGAGTTGAAGGCTCTGGAGCAGCAGCTGTTGTGCACCACCGATACCGCTAAAATCTGATTTTTAAAAAATTCAAAATATGCACACGCGGTCGCATTTTTTGGGGCATAGAGCAAAATGAAATGCTTATTTACCGATTGTGGAATCAGGTTGTTTGCGTATCGGCTTTGTTAACATATTTTTTTTTTAGAATACAGACGCAGATATACAGAGTACAAATAGCTGTTTATAGTTTTTATATGTACCTCTGAGATCCAACAGGAGATTGAAAAGACTTCTACAAGATCAAGGAAGGTAGAACCTAGCTGTTATTGCTGTTTTACATGGCACTTGCTATAGTCATAGGCTCAGATGCCTTCCCATGCAGACCCCCAGAACCTCAGTGAGTGGTATCCTGCTCAGGAGACTCATCTTTTTCTATATTATGGAGTCTGTAGAATTTCTGGGATTCTCATTCCTGAATGACCCTTATTGTTGGCTCCGACCGAGGAAAATAAAGAAATTTTTATGCCACTGACCCCGTCAGGAATTTCCTACCCAAAAAATAATCATGATTTAAGAATTTCAGGGGAAAAGTACTTTAAGTACATGTGCATCTGACTTTTTTCTTCCCTCTTTTTCCCTGACCGACCCTCCCTGAAGGTTGAAACAAAATGAAAGCCAGAAAATTGACTATGGGTGCCCTAAGTTGCACCTCCTAAGGGTTTCTATCATTTTCAAGCATATCTCGGTCTAACAGACTCACAGAGGTTAGTTCTGGTGTCTATATCCATGTTCCTCAGGTCAAGGAGACCAATCCTAACAGTGACAAAAGCATGAGGTCATTAGGTTGAGATAGCCATCTTAAATTCAAACATGGCTGCCATTTTCAGAGTGGCCATCAACTGCCCACGGAAAATTCAAGCCTCATTCGTTTCCTGCACAATGGGAGATTCGAGAAATTTGGAAAGGCTCCCAGCTGAAAAGTGCAGGGGGAGTTAGGACTAAGGCACCCCCTCAATCCTGATTCCGTCCCCCTCAATCCTGATTCCGTCCCCCTCAATCCTGATTCCGTCCCCCTCAATCCTGATTCGCAGCGAGAGTTAATTACAATCTATTCTAACAAGAACTCCCCAATTTTTTTATCACCAACCTCTGACATCCTGTATTGCACTACAAATTGGTCGCCGCTGGCCATAGATTTCCGCTTGGTCAACACCGATACCAGCGTTTCCTGCTTGACCTTGAGGAGATCCGACACCAGCTTCACTGTGGCAATGTTCTTGATGGTCACATACTCTTCATGCTCATTGCGCTTGCGGAATGTGATGTTACCAATGTGCAGGACGGCCGAGAGAACCGAGAAAATTCTGGATGCGGGAAAAACAACGGAATATGATTACCAAGTGTGGCATACAAGAAAACAGACAAAACTATTAACTTCCTGGTTCAGGTAATAAAGATCTGAATGCAAGAATACAAAGCCTAAACTACCATAACAGCGCCTCCGGTTGAAAGAGTCTTCCAAATTAAGGCTACATACCCAATTCATGTAATTTGGTAATGATCATGCCATGTTCACATCATTCCATTTAAAAAAACCAAGGATAAGAACGTTGACTTCAGTTAGGACTAACTTACTGTCACGTTTGCAATGTACCATCCCAACACCAGGCTGAAGTCGGTATTTGTAATGTTGGACAAATTCCTTTACTTCAGCTTTTATTACACTTCAAAGTGATCCATGTTAAATCGAAATTCTGTCTGCAGTAAGCTTTTTACGGGTAGTGACAGCTGTGAAACTCCAATGAAAATCTGAACAGTGGAAGTTCCACTATTTCAGGGTTATGAAGTTACCTACTTCAGCCTGGTTTGGGGATGGTGGGTCACATTTATGCACTAATAATATGAATTTCGTCATGTTAGAGGGGATTTCAAGTGCAACTTATCGACAGCTGAGGTACATGAACATGGCAATTACAAACCAATAATTCAGTTTAACTACATGAAGCTCATGACGACCAAAACACAAAGAACATGTACTGGTAGCTGTCAGGTTTGTGTTTCAACTTTCGGTTTCTGCAAATTGTTCAACTGTAACAATATGTATTTGGGTATTGATTTCTTATTCACCACAACACAATGGCCATGATACCATCACACGATAATAACAGAGCTGCTTTAGCACATTTGCTTAAGCGCAAAAATATCTTGCTTGAAAAACAAAGGTTACCAGCTCAAACTCTAAGTGATTGTCATGCTAACCAAAAGACAGCTAAATGCCATTATAAAACAATTGGCTGGTAACTTGATTAATCAAGCAAGGTTTTTCCACATTTAAGCAAATTGTATGCTTTAAGCAGATCTATGAATTTTTCCCTCAAGAGGGAAGTTGGTCATCTTCCATGATGATGCACAATGAGTCTTTGTATACAAGTAGCTGTCTGCAGTGTGAACAGCCTGCTTGCCATAAACAAATGCCTCTTTTCAAATCATTTCCTACTGTGGTATCTCACAAAGTTTCCATGGTGTTCTGTCATCTACTGTACCACTTGTGTCCAAAATAATCCAGAATAGTTCAAGGAGATAAACATGTACTTCATGGGTGCACCATTGGGTCTTTACAATCAAAGTTAACCACAGCAGCCCTATAACATAAACAGAATCCAAAGTGTACTGTCTAAAACCCTATCTGGGAAGGCCATGCAAGGTGCAACATCTCACACAGCGTCCAACCCCGTAGAGTGATCTCCTATCCGAAAGTGATCCATGAAGATTTTCAATTTTTTTGTATAATTCTTTTTGCCTGAAGTAAATATTTATAAACACTGTATACTCAGTGCTTGTCCGAGAGCTTGCAAAGAAATTCACAAGCTGACTCGGGTGAGACTTGAACCCACAACCTCCTGCATACTAATGCAGACGTCTCAACTACTCGACCACCGAGCTTGCGGGGGTCGGCTGGCCGGTATAACTCAGATGTAGTAGTCGGTACTGCAAACTATTTCAAGATATAGTTTGCGCCTGGGAGATATTTTTAATAATCAGGGAGATGTGCAAAAAAACTTGTAGTTGAAAACTAACATCTTCCCGACGCACACTCCGATGATCCATGAAGCTCAGAACAACAACAAAAAATTATCTCTGGTGTCCACCTCATGTTTAATACCCCACAATGCATTAAAACACATCCAAATGATGTTTCATGCTATCCTATCAGTCAAGTGCATATCCCAAGTGTCTTGACTACGGGATGTACCCATTCCCACACTAGACACCTGAGTCCCATGGTATCCGCTAATTCCACTGCATGTTTTTTGGTGTCCTAAAAAGTGGAGACCAATAATGCCCTACCCGACAAAGGATCCCCCAGTGCCCCTTGCTATCCCATAATTCATAGGCACATCATGTGATGCACCAGTTGACAACAAACCAACTAGTTTCCCGTGGTATCCCACAATTCTGCATACCCAATGATACCCTACACCATTAGGCATCCAGTGGTGTGTAACCCACAAGAGATCTGCTTGGGCTTCATGGAATCCCATAACTCCATCTGATCTCACCTTTTCATGGTCTCCCGGGAGAAGCCCACCATCTCCATGGACTGCTTAAGCCTTGTGTACTCGTACTTCTCATCAACCCCCTCCAGCGTGAAGCAGTGGCTCTGTCAAACAGGGAGAGGAGGGTAAGGAGGAATCAGAAAGTTGTCAGGGTTGGCCTGACATTAGTCAGGGATGGCCACAGGATATGAATAATCTATCGGGACTCCAAGTCTTGAAGCCTGGCTTAGATGGTGCAAATTTGGCAGTGTCAAAGTCACTTAAAGGAGCGTATTAAACAGGAACAGACTAAGCAGCATTTTGAGGTGATTGTCTAGATCATCTCTCGTACTGATTGATGTAATTACCTTAGGTAAACAATAAAAAAATAAGTTTTCCCTGGTTGGCTCCTATCCCGCAGACATTGGGAATGGAAGGAATACTGCCAAAAGGAACTTCAGAGCTCTGCAACTCCTCCTTTGAACTCTACTGAGAGGTTCTTGTACTACTTTCCGTTTCAACTGTGTTTGAAATGCCACCTGTCACAATCCTTACCAACACATCCGAGTGCAAGCATACAGATGGACAGATATGAAGAAAGGCGCCAACCACAAGTGCTCTTTTTACCCGGTGACAAGTCCCACAAATGATTTGTTCTTCATGACTTGACTCAGGCTTTATTTTAATTATTCTATTCTAATTCTGTAATACCATGGATTCAACATTTTTCCGAATAACCTTATCATTTTTCATTTTTAAACAGGCCGGTGAACTGAGATTTCAAAACTGAACTTCTAAGATTTCAGTGGGTGCTGTGCGATGCTAATGAAGTCAGAGAGGCAAAATTCTCAAGCATACATGTACCATGTCTACTGAATATGCAAATATAAATATTCAAATAAAGTTTGATGCATGTCACATTTACGGTACATGTATTTGACTTTATATGTGAGTAGATCCCACAAAATGAGTGTTACAGCCTATTTTTCATGAGTATATTTTACTTTCAAGTAAAGTTAGCTCTTTGGTTTGACTCATCACTCAGTTTATCATCCCGATGATAAAGGTTATGACGAGAGTGAAAGTTTTTAAGGTTTTTTTTTTATTGATTTATACTGTGCAAGATTTGCTTGCAGCTCACTTTGTGAGGCTTGACACACACACGCAAGTGTGTATTTGCCTGCAACTGGGGACCCCCTATTGTTCCTCTTTTGTTTATACTTTCACTTTTTCAGAAGACCACCCATATGTTTTGTACACAGTTGTCAATCGGGGACCCTCTGTCAATCGGGGACATTATTGTCCTCTATTGTTCAAGGTCCCCAATTGAATGCAGAAACAAACTCATGTACACACACATCCTTACACAGCTATACTTGTGGGGTATTTCCTTTGTTCTTGTGTACAAAACTCCCACACAACACGCAAAAATTTCAAATCACTCCAATTTAAACCAAATTCACTTTCCTGGGTTGAAATTTCGACCGACCGTGTCCCTTATATAAAACACTTCAATTTGCGACAGATTTTTACCCATCAAAAATTTCCCCTTTTTGAGTTATTTCCAAATATCAGTTTCGTGAAATTCTTGTGGGGTATCAATTTTGGTACCCCACAAGGTAAAAACTGGCCTTGTGGGGTACTTCCCATTGTTCCGGTATCCCACAAGGCCCCGTGTATAAGCGCACATGTACACATGACAGATTGAGGTACATGTAGTGTAGTGTTCCAACTACTGCAGGAGTAGCAGACATACAGGAGACATGCAAATCACCATTTACTGAGAAGTTGATCCGCAAGGTCGAGTGCCTGGTACCACGCTACCTACAACTGTTGTGCACATCACAGCACACCTGATGACAACACTGATAACGGTTCCTAAGGGTGGTCCATTCCAACTTGTCGAGGTGAATCGCTGTGCCTCCGTTTTGACATACCTGGTTCAAGTAGTAATAGTCCTGTGCCTTCTCTAGCCACAAGCTCTCCCGCTCGGCATCTTCGGCGCCTTGGAGCAGATAGTAGAATACATGGTAGTTGCGCTCGTTGGGAGCTTGCGAGACGATCCGAGATTTCTCCAGCAAGTACTGCTCCACGATAGCACTGCAGAATCAGGGGAAAAAAACCACATTAAAAAAACAGAAAGCATTAGCACACCTTTACAGTACAAATCACGCATATATGTACTGGTACATGTACATGTATGTGCCCAACAATATGAGAGCACTGATGGCTAAAAACTGGTAATGAAGCTTCTTTGATGACTTGAGCTGACAGTGCTTAAGATCATCCTTTAGTTGTTGCACTTGTTAAGATTTCTTAATGACACTGCTGAAACAACCACTGAAAGGGCACATTTGATTTTTCTGGATCTATGATCTATGATTTGATCTATGACTCTTCCAACGGTTGAATTTCACCATGTTGCAATCGTGAAACTCAGGGCTTCCAATGTTTCGGATGGTCACATATGCAAGCAACCAACACAACATGGACTTAAGAACCCCATGTGGTAGAACCTAGTCGTGTGCCTGAATGAACTTGGCTATAGCTATCAAGAACACACGCATCTATGGAAATAATAGCCACTAGCCAGTGCCTTCCAAAGGCACACACAAGCAATTCCATGGCCAAAAAGGTGCCATACATGTACATACACACATGGTACATGTACATGAGTTTGTATAAGTACCAGTACCCAAACCACCTCAACCAATACATGTGCGTGTATGCACCGGTGCAATTTACGTATGACATGACTTCAGAAACATTTAATGCTTGAGAGAAACTTTACCAAAAATACTGTATACATCTTCTGGAAAAGGGCACATATAATTATAAAGTGACCACCATCCATGTGGAGTAAGTCTCAGAATAGGAGAAAATTCAGGAGAGTTCTAAATCTGTGACAACATCGTCTTAGGCAAAAGACCTCTCAAGGTAAACAAACGATCACATGATGGGAAACAGCCTACATGTACTAAAACAGTTGCACCATGTGCACAATACGGTACAATAAAGAGATAAAGAGTTCACACTTTCTATTCTATTCTAACTTTCTATTCCTAGTAACCTGAGTAGCAAGGGTTATTATGGAAGCCATGGGTGTACATGAATTATACATGAATTAACTACACAAACATCCAATACATGTACTGTACATCTTTGATGTACATGTATAAATTGTGAAACTGGAAGTAAAAATGAGTGTGGAAATGCAGGGCTGAATTTTTCTCCTCTGACAGAGCTGGTTTGTCCATGATTGATAGGACAGATGAGGGATGAGTTACAGTGTGACCCTGTAGTCCACATCTCTCATTAGCTCTTTTGGGGAGGTCTGAGGACCACAAAACCTCTTTGAACCTTGACCACTATGGAGATTTGAAGACAGGGGCCATCTACATGTGCGTGGGTAAATCTGGGGCAACAAAGACCAAGAAAGTTTTGCTTTTGGGGGGGTTGGGCTTTGGAGGAGGTGGGTTTTTATAGACTTTATGTCCAGAAATGTTTCACTGGACGTTCCCCATGACCCCATTAAATGGCAGAAAGCACTGTGAGGGGTTTTGTATGGGTTTTGAATGCTTAAACCGCCATTGGTGGGAGGCACCACAAATGACCAGTGATAGTGGCTTATATCACAATAAATATCATATCAGCTCTCTGCAAAAAAATGGATAATACGGAGTACAAGTACGTTGTCTTATTTTCCCAAAACAATTTGACAGCTTTTCATCAACTAAGCAGAAATCACCTCATCTTGCTTCAACATGTATGTACATGTACATGTATGTCCAGTATGGGGTCGAAATCCTAGGGCTGAATCCCACAAGGATCACAAAACATCAAATACCACGCCTGGTATATGGACCATGTGGGACACACAATACAATTGTACTGTTGCCGTAATCTTTGCCCTGTTGAAATTTTTCCTGTCGCTTTCGGGCAAATGCAAATACACGTGCAGTTTTCATTTGTACTGTCTACAATACTGCTTTTTACAAGTGCAACACAAAATGTTTGAAGGTTAGTGAAACGGTAACATATCTTCAGTGTAAACCAACACATCATTTACTTTCTGAATTAACTACAGTATAATAAATTAAGAGCAAGTTCCCCTAAAACAGTTTTCAAGGCCCAAAATCAGTCCACCCCCCCCAAATTTTGAACAGACTGGTACTGGGCTTTATGGAAAGCTAATAACAAAATCACGAGATGGCTTTGCCACCCCCCCCTCCCCATTTTTTTTAACAGATAAACATTTACAGGTACCATAAAATATCAAATTATCCACTCTGAAAAACTAGTGACGGGGAAATTACCTCCACTGACACAAATATCACGGGTCTGTGCACACCCCCGGGGCTTCATAAACATAAACAACTCACGCTGAAATGAAACTCATACCCTCTGGGGAAAAGTTCCCGTCCCCGCATCACACCTACACGTATCATATAATGGCAAATGCCGTCTCGTGATTTTGTTTTTAGCTTTTCAGAAATTAGCATAACACCTCCGCAAGCCACTTAGTCTGAATTACAGCGATGGCAAACAGCTGGAGAGGGAGACTAGTATGAATTATTCATCCCTGAAAACATCTTTTGCCTCCGTGAATGCCTGCCGTTAGCAGATAACTTATTGGTACATGTACAGCCAACACTCTGTTTATATATCAAATACATTGTACTTGTACTCATATGTAACAGTTACCCTACATGTACACACTTCACTGATTTCTTTGCATCCTTGGACTTCAATAACAGGAAGAAAAATGGAGCCTTCCTGAGGTTTAAATGTCATTTTGATAAAGCTGAATGAAAGAAGGAGACCAATTAGAAGTGCCCAAGTTGTCAGGTATGAAAAGTACTGTAACATGTACCGTACCAGTACATGTACATGTCATACACTGTAGATCTCTCTCACTGGATGTCATCTTTGAAATCAAATTTTTGCTGTGTTCAAATGTTCCATACTTGGTGTGCAGCTTGATCTAAATACAGGATATGTACATGTACTAGTACGCCTATCTTCACAATGCGGCGCAGCGGGTACACGACACAAGACTTTGGAGTAAAAAATGCTGGTGCATGTGACAATCTGCAGGAAATATTGGTACCTGTGCATCATTTGCAGTACATTTTTGCAGTACGTACACATGTACATGTGCCGTACGTGCACACAATAGACATGTACACAGTACCAGTACATGTACATGTAGGAAGGGAATGGAACACACAATCAACCATTCACTTTGTGTACTGACGTTCTGTGTGACAACTTTAATTTAATTACACCTGGAAATAGCCAAATGATCAAATACTAACGAAGGATGTTCAAACAGTAATTTGTAAAATGTATTTAATTAAATAACCCTAACAGCCTGGCCTATAATTTGGCTTTGTAGGACTCAGTACTACAAAGTGGGTACTACATACATGTACCGGTAGTAGTCTGACCCTGAAGGACCTACGTACCAGTAGCTCTATAAATGAATATACATGTATGTACCGGTACTTCTGGCTAGGGCATTTCCATTGTTACATGTACTTGCACAGAGAACAATAAGGTCAAGCATTTGCAGTGCCACAGAATGCTACATTTTACTACTAAAGCCCTGTTCGCACTGGACTTTTTTGGGGCAAACTTACCGAGACGATGGGTACTTTGCCCATTTTAAGTCCAGTGCGGACGTCCCCAGAAGACTTCCTCTCGGTTACTTTCCTGAGCCGTGTGGAGTTTTTACCAGCAAACTCCTGGCCAGGAAGAATTCCCGAGACACTATTCCCGAGACAGAAANCAGATCCCGCAATTGGTGGATCAGATCCCCCAATTGGTGGATCAGATCCGGCAATTTTGTGTAATGGGAACACGAACTGTTATAAGGTGGATCAGGATCAGATCTACCTTTCTTGATCCTCCTCTGGAGCAGGATACAGATCCCCCAATTGGTGGATCAGATCCTGCAATCGGCGGATCACAATCAGATGGGAACGCAAAAGGTGGATCTGATCCGGCAATTTGACCTGTCAGCATCCGTCCGTGCACGAGTGGCACGGAACTTTTGCGGTCTGATGAACAAAGAAATATGTTTTCTGGCACGTAGCTCATGTGAAAATTTTAATGTGCACAGCATGCACACTTAAGAACTGCTGAACTACGGGCTAGCAAAAAGTGTCACCACGCATGCCTGATGAATGCATGACACGATGTGTTCGTAGCCCTTTCACAATTTTCGTTGTGCATTCGTCCGTTTCTTAACCTTTTTCATTTGTGTGATTTCACTTGCTGTCCATCAAAAACTAATTCCATGTTAGCGTATAGCCCACAGTGTGTAACAGAGTAGCGAAAACGGAAGCAAAGTTTGAAGAGACAACGTACTAGGCTGAACATTCAGTCCGATTCCAGGTTGTCACGTCAGTAGAACTTCGCACCCAAAACACTGCAAGGGTCACACGTATGCAGTGTGACTCGTCCCAGCCCCCAACACTGCCACAGAGTGTGCGCTCAGCAAGCTAGCGCATGCGCAATACCGAACTCAGTGACCTTTCGGGCTCGACATGTCCATGCGAAAAGGTAGATCAAACGTAAGTGGGAACGCGACTTGCGGTTTCGTTGCGGTAAGATAACGATCACACCAAAATGCCAGATCAAGATCCACCTTTTCCCACTTCAAGTGGGAACGTGCTGTATTAGGTTCTGAGCAGAAGCTTCCATAACATTAGTAGTTTATTATCACCAAAATATTCAATGAGTTCAGTGAAAACTGTGAATAATTAATGGTTCAATCAAAGCACAAGTACTGTAATAATGTGATAATGGTATGTTCAAAAGTGAACTACCTGTACATGTGTACGGGTACATGTACATGTTTCAACGCAACCCGACAGTGTTATCATTTAAAAGTACATGTACTAGTACAGTAATTGACAGAAACTGTTGTTTCTGGTTCCAAACTGAATATAACATATTTTCAAAACTGAAGAGCTGAGTAAGGAAGACAATGTTCTGTTTTCTGGTTCAGTCCGGCCTATAATTTGGCTTACAGGACTCAGTACTACAAAGTGGGTACTACATACATGTACCGGTAGTAGTCTGACCCTGAAGGACCTACGTACCGGTAGCTCTATAAATGAATATACATGTATGTACCGGTACTTCTGGCTAGGGCATTTCCATTGTTACATGTACTTGCACAGAGAACAATAAGGTCAAGCATTTGCAGTGCCACAGAATGCTACATTTTACTACTAAAGCCCTGTTCGCACTGGACTTTTTGGGGGCAAACTTACCGAGATGATGGGTACTTTGCCCATTTTAAGTCCAGTGCGGACGTCCCCAGAAGACTTCCTCTCGGTTACTTTCCTGAGCCGTGCGGAGTTTTTACCAGCCAACTCCTGGCCAGGAAGAATTCCCGAGACACTATTCCCGAGACAAAAANGTCCAGTGCGGACAGTGCGAGTCGGTAAAAGCTGCTCAGGGAAGCGTACATCCGGTTTACTGGCAAGGTCCGGCTCACACGAATCCCGCGCAGGTGCGTTGCAAGCGTCCACATGACGTACACACACGTACACCCCGCAAAGCTTAACTGGTTGCTGTGCAGTGATTTCGTGCTTTCCAGTCTCTCGAATGATGGCAGATATTATTATTGAAACAATCGGAAGTTTCATTGGGGCCACCAATGTATCACTGAAAGAACTGTCACAACCGGGAGTTTGTAAAAGGTGCGCGCATGCTTGCGTCAAAGGGTAAACATGAAAGGTCACGCAAAGCGCTCTACAGTGACAGCTCGGTTACTTTTCCCATGCTGCTTGGTAAAAATCCCTGCGTCAAAAGTCCAAGTGCGGACTGTGGTAAAAATGTGCCCATTTTTCATTTTCCCATCGGCTCAGTAAAATCCTCGAAAAATAAAGTCCAGTGCGGACAGGGCTTAAGTAGTACTTTTTAGTATTATGTAGGGTTAGGGTTAAGAGAATACTGCCTAAATAAACAATTCTGGTAACACAGTGCTTTGGGTATTTCAAAGTCTTCAGTACAATTCAATGACTGTGCAGGCTTCATGCAGAGTACAATGCACATTGCACAGGTACATGTACAGTGGTGTGGACAAAGCAGATATGCCATATTTTGGGACTGGGCAATTTAGTCATGACAATGTACATCTTTTTCGGCAGGGAAGGCTGAGATACCGGTACATGTAAACAGTGCACAGTGTACTTGGAAGTGGCCATAAACAAGACCCATAGCATATTGACTGACTGACCAAGTAAGAGATTGGCAACCTCCGTGAACAAATTAGTTCAGGCACTCGGGTAAATTTGTCTAATGACTAATGGTCCCAGTTGGCTGCAAATACCAAAGTTTAATTAGATTGCCAGTCAGCCCCAACAAGCATACACATACCGAGTACATGTATGTATGGCATAGCCTTAGCCTTCAATATCTCCTCCTTTGTTTCTGGACAATATTTACACTGGTTCTATGAAAATTGTTAATGATTGACCCTTCAATCAAACCACAACTTCTATGAAGAATACCACTATCAAGATTGCCCATCATTCCATGGGGAAGAATGAATAGGTGATAGAGAGGTTAACTATCCCAAAGACTCCAAACAGCAGAAGAGCATGCGTACCCATATTTTGCATGCCTATCTGTAAACGTTAATATCTGGATTGAAAACCAAAATGACACACGCTTGATCCACACAGAGGCAATTATTCCAGATGTCTATGATGAAAATTTACCTTTTTTGTTTTAACTGTAACTGTACCAGTATCTTAAACTTCAGCCAGTAGAAATGTTTACAACATGCAGATATAAGGGTAATTCCAGAAATCAGGGGCCCAAAAGTGTGACATTTATGTGTCCCTGTTATATCTGACCTATTTCAACCTACTGCTATTTGTTTGGCAGGTAATTTGCATTCCTTCATCACTTTTTTAAATTTGAAAATGTGTTCTGAACTGACCAATTAAAAACATATGTCACATGTGACAGAGCCACGAAAAACAAAATGGATGCCTAATTTCTGGAATTACCCATAAACTTTGGACAGCTTAAGTACACAACTTGTTGAGAATTCCTCATTTCAGTTTCCCTTCTGAGTTAAGTCAATGATCAATACAGTGCATATACATGTACATGTATACAAAACAGCTTGCCTGAAAACATGATTGTTTTAATGTGACTAGCAGTGGCACTGTTTCCCATCTAGGCCACGAAAGGAGTCGAGGTGAGAGAGGAGGGTATACATAACTAGTGGTTTGACCCCGAGGTGCGACAAGACCGAAGTTCATGGATACATAAACCCCACTGCTTGCCCCCACTTCAGGGGTGTGACATCCAGGGCTCTCCTGCCCCACTCACTCATCAAAGTACAAACAAGCATGTGGTTTGGGGTTTTCTTCTTCCCAGCAATTAGATGATGGAATTATGAAATCAGGAAGGGCTCAAAGCCTAAATGTGCAGGCCCAATCAGCTTGATGTTACCCGGTGCCACAGGAACCTCAATTAGAAATGCGCCATCTTTTTTGTAAGTGGCAACTTGGCTCGCACCCTGCTCAATCAAACAGAATTCAAGAGTGGGCAGTTTATTTTTTTGTTTGGTTTGATGTAAAAATTGAACGAGGGAGTTTTTGTTTGAGATTCAACAGGCTTCTCTGCCAAACTTTGAGCTTTTTATACTGTTTAAGTCCGTAGAAATCTGCCCATTTGGAACATTCTTTTCAATGTAATGATGCTAAGTTAATTGATAAAGAAGTGGTTTTAAAGAACCTCAAAGTCTTCAAAGTGCCAAGAAAATGCAAAGTTTCTTTGAGGAAATGCTGATAATGAGCTACATGTTAGTGTCCTGATAATCTTGAACTCACCCAACCCACAGCAATGTCCACCCACGCAGATTCTGTGAAATATTTCCATCATCTTAAAGTTCCAAACTGAGTGAGTGATAAGCAGCCCATAGTTAATTCTGAAGATGGTTCTCACAGGGTTTCTTTTACCTTGAGGAAGGGGGAGGGATAAAAACAAATTTACCAGCTTCTAGGGAATTCCAGACAGGGTCAGCAGCACCGAAAAAAGATTTTTTTCTTGGTCGGAGGCAAAACAACCGGCCGGTTAGAATGAGAACTATAGAATTACCTACAGAGGCCCTGATGGACTTACCCATGAACTGTTCCATTCTCCCGATAGTTAATCTGGATGAATTTGCCAAACCGACTGCTGTTGTTGTTGACAACTGTCTTGGCATTGCCAAAAGCCTGGAAGAGAAACAAGAACCAAAAAAAAAAAAAAGAATAACAGTAAACCCGGTATCTTTCAAGTTGAAATCACAATAAAATTAACATGCACAGAGTTATTTCCCCACTTCATTTCTTTCCAATGCTTCAATTAACCCCTTTATGCCAAGATGCAATCTGCATTAAGTTGTCTTAATTCCATGTAATGTAGAAGGAGAAGTGAAAAAAAAAATGAGACTGCCACACCAAAAAGGAGGTTTAAAAACTTTTCCTTAATTTCAGATTCTTGACTGGTTAAATATTTACCGGTGCATCAAAATACTATTTTGGTAATATTTACCCAAATCAGTTGTCTTGATTGAAATTAAAAAATGTAAATGAGGAAATACAAATTAATTTCTCCTTGTGTGTTGGTTATAACCAGTCAAAATCAGGGTAGCTGGCACGTCACTTATTTGTGAGGTGTCACATCTTATGGGAACATGTCTCAGGAAAACACATCCTTGCTGCAATTTCAGAGTGGCGTCGACTTCTCACTGACGCGAACACTCATTCAAACCCCCCCCAAAGAAAATCCACGCCTGAGGGGGTTGCAGCTTCTCGTTGTGTCTGCTCCTGACAACCTCAACACATTTGTCCCCCCTCCCCCCTGACAAAGCCGCTGAAGCGTGCAATCTGATTGGCTTTAATGCGATTAGACACGGTGTACGGACAGAACGACAGAGAACGTGTATGTAGTTTAGCATCCTGGGGGCAACTCCAAACACTGCATCGGGCATATGTCGGGAAAATCAAATTTGAAGAAAACACGTGTAATTTAGATGGTATGTTAGCACAAAGTGCTTAGCGAGTCGCTGTCATCACTGCCGTAAATGGACAGACCGTGAAATAAGGCATTATTAGACGTACCATACAATGTGGGATGACTCATGAACACTAATATTTGTCTCAAACTCCGATATAAAGAATGCGACCCATAAAAAAACCTTTACAGTCTAGGTTCGTTTGTTGTTACAAGTACTGTGCCTTTTAACAACCTCAAAACATTCTATGTAAACCTGTGAATCACAGATGTTTCTCTGATATGAGCTTCATTTGTATTTCAATCATCCTGATGTTGTGAACATACATGTATCATGTACCACTACAAGTAGGTAGGCTGCAATGTCTGACATCCAGAAATGTTACAGAACATCTGTGGCACAGCCCTCTTTTATCAATACTAAAGTGACAAGCATTTCTTATGCAGGTTACACATGTGCTCATTGCCAATCTGCTCTGAATCAAAACTACCTTGTACATGTACATACCGTACATGAACCTTCACAAAACAATTTAAAAAAATATCTTCCCTTTTCCCAAGGTATATCATGCAATGTCTCATGTCACCAGGACAGTATCTTCTAAAAAGCATCTATGGTTGTGTATTTCCCCTAAGGTTTTTTAAATTGATGATTGTGGCATGTGGCATCATCGGTATATTAACTATTAATGAGCAGCACAACCGGTTTTGAAAGGCTGGTCAATTCTGTGACATCAGGGTTGACAATTTTTATTTTTAAAAAAAAAAATGAGATTTTAATTTTTTTTTCAATTTGAAACAAGTCGGCTCAATTATCTATTCCAAAGAAAACATAATTGGCCATGACCTTAAGATTCAAGACCAAGACCGAGAGCTGACCATCCGAGACTGAGACCCGAGATCTTGTGTCTATATTGCACAATTCAAATAAATGCAGAACCTGAACAAAATGAATATAACAGCACAATGGTTACTATAAATACAGAACCTTAACAAAATGAATATAACAGCACAATGGTTACTATCAAGTTTAAAAGAAGCATTTTATTTAAATGCTTGTCTTGCTCTATGTGCTGACAAAGCGGCACAACATACGAATAAATCTTTAAAGAAATATTTCGGGGACAGAATGACAACTTTAATAACGAATGCTTTAGTCATTACTCATTAGGCCGCACACGATGCACTTTACAAGCTCCTGGATAGCAGTGTTATAATACATCAGTAAAATCAATTTAGCAAAAATTGATAAAAATGAAGTGGATTAAATTCTAGATGGCTTCAACCCCTCCCCTAGATCATCCTAAAACAAAACAAAGTTGTTAGAGTTAGCCATACAGTGGAAAGTGGCTGCTTACACTGCACTGGCATCAAAATACTCTTTGTACATGTAGTTTCTGACACTGAATTTGATCACGGCTCAATTGCTTGACATCTTGAAAGACGGCAAAATGCAATGTGTGTGCAAAGCGCAAACTTTGAACTTGCAACGCACACAGAGTTGGAAAAAAGTGTAAGTTGCATTCGAGACTGGCCCTGGCACACACCACATGCATGTATCGGTTGACCGATGTACATGTAATATACATTGTGTAGTAGAAGCTACCCGCATTTGCCCCCTCCCCCCGGCTTATAACAATGATTGTATGGTCAAATCTCGCACATGCACACCAGTAAATCCGAGGTTGAAAACATGAAGTACATACGAATCCGTGAATAAGGTGGTGCATAATATGCTGTCCATCTTTGTTTTTCTGACTAGACCAGGGAAAATATTGAGACCTCCAATATCCGAGGCCAAGATCAGGACCGAGACCACTGGGTATCAAGACCGAGACTGGTCTCGAGACCTTCAACACTGGTACATAGTGTATGTACTAGTACATGTACATGTATGTGTCAATCATCTTGTATTTATACATGTATCTTTTGTCACAAACTTAACTTTACATGTCCATGTAAGTAAATTCAAAACTTAAGTAAATTTAAAACAAGACAAAAAAACAAAAAAATTCCTGATGACACAGGTTGTGTTTTACCTCAATACTTTTGGAACTTAAGGGTTCATAGTGTCCATGTAGGATATTTGCCATTTAAAAAGTGTAAAATAAAACATGAAAAACACAGCATTTCTTCAACTTTTCCAAAAATTTAATTGTTTATTTTCAATCAGTGACTAAAAAAAAAGTTGATTTAAATTTCAATTTAAACAAGCAGCTTAGATCATGGTGATTTAAATTAGTTTACTAGGGCACAAAAAAACAAATGTCATTTAGTACAAAGGCTTCATAGTGTACATGTATGTGCACACAAACACCAATTAAGGTCATGGCAAAAAATATCCCCCCCCCAAAAAAAGCTTCTGTTGACAAACTATAAATGATTTTCAGTACCGGTAGCTACATGTACGCGTACACGTGTGTCCATAAAACTAGGTGTGTGCACGAACGTGTACATGCAACGATGACTTCAGTTAATACACAACACTTCAGCCTTGGCATTCAAGTAAACAATTAAATTACAGATTTCGATAGAATTTTCAATGGGTCAATTCGCTGAAAAAGTGTAGAATCAGTCAGGCGAGACAACCACAACTGCTTTCTCTGTGCATCCCACATCCAAACTATGCATGAATCACAAGTTGTGACCTATTTTCAGTCAGATGGAATGTGGACTTGCACACAATGGTCCAAGTTAGCACCCAGCCCTTCAAATACAATCGGCCTCTGTAGTTTTCCCCCCAATCTGACAGGCTCCATGCAGCAATTCTGAAGGGCTTTTTCCACAAAGTGAGGAAGTCTCTTTGTGGTCATGTCCAAAGCCCATACAGGTTAGGATGTAATCACACATTTCCACTTGAATACAATAAAAAAAAATGTGCACTTTTATTTACACATAGAGGACGTGTATGTCAAGTAACAGCACTTGGTACAATTTCTACTCAATCCCTGAAGTACTGAACCGGGAGGTATTGTGACTCATAATGACAATGGGTGGCTCCACCTCCGTGCAACTCAGAAAAAAAAAGTATTAAACCTGTCAGAAATAACCAACACAGTTCATGTACCAGTACACGTACAGGTACAACATTCTGTGTCTTATGATGGCACTGTCTGCAGACTCTGTGCAGCCAAGTGGTTCAAGATATTGGTTGCTTGGGCAAGAAAAATATCTACCGTTTGTTCAATTTTAATATTTGGAATTCAGACAGGAATAAACATTGGTATGCCCCAATTGAGACAGCGTGAAACTTGTATGCCTCTGGGAAGTAATGGGTAGAGAAAACAAAGTGACCCGGTACCTGAAGAACTAAATGACCAAATTCCTAAATAACTGCTCAATTTGAAACTTGGACTATTTAGGAATTGAATTCTTGAAAAGGTTTAGTGTTTGGAGCTTTAGTGATGTAGGAATTCAGACGGGGAATAAACATTGGTAGGCTGCAATTGAGATGGGGTGAAACACACGTACATGTACATGTACCCGGTACGGTATGTACTCCATCAGATATCAATTATCCAGCAAAAGTGCCAAGCGTAACAGAGAAAAAAAATAGTCTGGTCTTCAAGACAGTAAACCATTAACTATGTATACAACTACACGGTAGTTAAGTTACAATACCCCAGATTCACGAAGGTCGACTTTTGAGGCCAAAAAAACCCCGGAATTCCGGGTAACAAAAGGAGAAATCACTCAGTGTTACTCTCCTGTAGAGTTCATTAACAGCAAATACCGCTGCATGTACATGTACATGTACCTGTATCAACCATACTAGAGTTGGGCTACTTTCACCGGCAAGTTCTTGTTTTCAAATTCACTGAAAAGTTACTCTATGTACATTATTGTAGTTCCGCTTTTTCTTGTATGTGCACAAATCTTTTGTTCACATCTTAGCAAATATCAAGAAGGCTTTCTTTTCAACTTGCCAACTGGTGTAAATCTTAAATGTTGAAGCAATTTTGGATGGTGTGGCACAAGCAGATGATGGGACAAAATAAATAATTTTCACATTTGGAAAAACTCAGTTGACAAGTTTCCTGAAAGTTATTAAAGTGAATGAGCTTGTATGAATGTGCGATGACAGAGACAGGTTTTAAGGAAGTACAACATTATTGTGCTTGAGGAAAATACTGCAAACATATTAAGCATAAAGTACCAGTAATAATAAAACACAGGTACGGTAATGTTTGCCTTCTTTATGAAGTACAGTAAAAAGTCA